AGGCGAAACGTCGTAACGGCGGGCGCCGTCTCAGAGCAGGACGCCAATGGGGAGGAGTCAGACAGCTGTTCAGCGGTGCTGAAAGGCTACCGCGACGCGCTCGACGGCATGCTTGGAGGGGTTGCCGAGCCCATGCTGGTCGACCTGCAGGACAGGCTCAACGCGTGCGAGGGGGAGGTGGAAGACCAGGGCGAGATGGTCGAAGCCACCCGAGTGGCCGTGAAGGTGCTGGGCCACAAGCCGAGGAAGCTCGACAGGCAGCTGACCGATGCCGAGGGGCGCCAGGAGGCCGATGAGATCGCGGTTCTCGCAAAGGTGAGTGAGATCTTCGAGTCCGCTCTGGTGGTACCAGGGCGGCCAGGCAGCGCGAGAACGGCATCGGACGCTCCTGGCAGCGGACATCACGAGTGATGCGGGGCGCTGCCAGGCTTCGCGACCAGCAGCTTCGACCCGGAGTGGGACGAGTATTAGGTCGGGCATGTCCTCTTACAGCCGGAGCTTGGAAGAAAAACGAAAAATGATCCAAGCATGCTCAAAAACAGCAAAAAAAATCCGGAAAACCGCCCCCTGACTATTTCTTACCTAACAAAAATGCATACTGCTCCTGGAGAGGAGCATGCTCGGGGATGGACAGACCCCCCTTTAGCAAAACGTGGTTTAGTGAAAACGACCTGAGGCCCAAACCTGGCGGGCACAAGCCTGGAAAATGACGGCCGCGGCGCCCTCTCGAGAACCGACATCGGACAATTCACGAATCGACGTGTCACTGTTGGGGGCTCTGCCCACCCCCGAAAACTGCATACTGCTCCTGGAGGGGGGCATGCCCGGCTTGCGACGATAAAACAGGGCTAGGATCGGGATAAATCGCTCCAGAGCGTTCTGGAGCGCTCTCAGAGCGTTCCGGAACACTCTGGAGCGGCCGCGGCGCCCAATACATCCTCCAAACCCGCCGATTCTCAGAGATTTCGAGTTATCCCGATCCGATTTTGTCCCGATCTCCGCGTCGCTTGCGACGAGCAGCCCGCCCGGAGTCCAACGGCAGCCCGGCCGGGCGTGCGCGGCAGCGTGGCCGGCCCGGCGTGCGCGCGGCGGCCTGCGTGAGCCAGGGGGGGGGGCGCGTCTCGCCCCGCCTCCTCTGGACGCTGCTCGGACTTCCAGGGGCGGCGTGCGTGCCCTCGCCTCTCCTTCCTCCCCCTCCGTCCCCTCCTCCTCCTCCTCCTCCTCCTCCTCCTCCTCCTCCTCCTCCTCCTCCTCCTCCTCCTCCTCCACCTCCTCCGCCTTCTCCTCCTCCTCTCCCCCTCTTCCCCTCCTTCCCCTCCTCCTCCTCCTCCTCCCCTCTTCCTCTTCCTTCCTCCCCCTCCTTCCTCCCCCTCCTTCCTCCCCATCCCTCCCCTCCTCCCCTCCTTTTTTGACGACAGTCGGACTTCGAGCACGGGGCTCGCAGCGTTCTGAAATGGTGCAAAGAAGACGCCGATTTGGGCCCGAGACAATCAACTTACGCCTGGCTGGCGCAGCGGGAAACAGAAAGGGAGCGAGGGCTAGGCCAAAGACAGAGAGCCCGCAAGGGCAGAGAGCAAGCGCCAGCCAAACGGTGGGCTCCCCTCTCCTCTCCGTCCTCCCCCTCATTCCCCTCCTTCTCCTCCTCCTCCTCCTCCTCCTCCTCCTCCTCCTCCTCCTCCTCCCTCCTCCTCCTCCTCCTCCTCCTCCTCCTCCTCCTCCCCCCTCCTCCTCCTCCTCCCCTCCCCCTCTTCCCCTCCTTCCCCCCCTCCCTCCTCCTCCTCCTCCTCCTCCTCCTCCTCCTCCTCCTCCTCCTCCTCCTCCTCCTCCTCTCCTCCTCCTCCTCCTCCTCCTCCTCCTCCTCCTCCTCCTCTCCTCCTCCTCCTCCTCCCCTCTTCCTCTTCCTTCCTCCCCCCTCCCCCTCCTCCTCCTCCCCTCTTCCTCCCCCTCATTCCCCTTGTCCTCCTGAGCCTCTGGCCGCGCTGGGGGAGACTGCGCTCGGGCGACGGAGCCCCCCCTGGACAGGCCCTCTCTCTCTCTCTCTCTCTCTCTCTCTCTTTCTCTTTGCTTATGTGTTTCTCTCTCTATCTCTCTCTCTGTGTCTCTCTCTCTCTCTCTCTTTCTCTTTCTCTTTCTCTTTCTCTTTGCTTATGTGTTTCTCTCTCTCTCTCTCTCTTTGTCTCTCTCTCTCTCTCTTTCTCTCTCTCTCTCTCTCTTTCTCTCTCTCTCTCTCTCTCTCTCTCTGGGCGCGGTAAGGGCGCGGAGAGGTGTACAGACGGCGCCCTCCGAGGCAGGAAATGCGTGTACGCGCGGTGCTCAGTTCGTATGCATGCACAGCCGAACATGCGATCAAGAAAACTATGATTTAAGAAATCTGGGCCAGCTTCCCGGAAGCTGTTTGAAACACACCTGGGCCAATTTCGAGCGTACGCAAGAAACTGGGCCGGCTGTCCCGCAGGTTGCCTGAGAAACGCTGGTCCAGCCTTTTGAGGGGAGGCTTCGTAATCAGATGCTCGACTGTCAACGCGTGTGCGCGTGTGATCCCTTCCTCCGCAGTGAGCGGTTGCCATCTCTTCGCCGTCTGCCTGTTCCTGTGCCTTGCCTCCGCCACTTGGCCTCTCGCCCTGCCGCTTCGGCCGCACCGCGCCTCCACTTCCACGCTTCGTTTACTGTTGCCTGCCTGTCCACCCTCCCCACCCTCGCAGCCCATGTCCGGGTACTGCGCATGGCACGGTCGATCCCTGTGGATCCCTGCCCCGTCTTCTGAGGCGCCAGCCGCGCGCATGTTTAGTTCCCCTCGAACCGACTTGCTTTGCCTTGCCGCTGCGCGCGAAGCCGCGCCGGCCAAAAAGCGCGTGCGAAGACGACGGGAAGACTCTCACGAACTGAGGTGGCTTCTCAAAGGCCGACATCCCTGCCCGGCCTCCGACCCAAACCCGCTCAGAACACGTCGACAGGCACCCCTCCCCAGGGCGCCCCATGTCAGCTTTCCGAGCCGCCCCCGCCCGTGGCGAATAAACAAAAACGCCGGACTTGCTTGAAACGCTCCAAAGCGACAGGGTTGAGGCTGACGACCTGGCGACAAAAAGGACAACGACAACGACGGCGGCGCCTGCGACGACGACGGCGACGGCGACGGCGCCCCGCCCGCTTCTGCGCGTCGCCGGACGACCGGGTGTGGCACCAGCTTGATGAACTTCCCCCAGCCGAGCGCCCCGGCCGTCATCTGCAGCACGCCCGCAAGCACGACGGCGGCGCTTAAGTACGACGTTCCTCGTCGCCGCCGCCGTCATCGTCGCAGCCGCTGCCGTTGTGGCAGCGGTCGTCGTTGTCGTCGCCGCCGCCGCCGTCGTGGTCGTTGCCCGTGGACACGGCCACGGTCTTGGTCGTGGTCGTGGTCGTCGTGGTCGTGGTCGTGGTCATCGTCCTCGTCGACGTCGTCGTCGTGGTCGTCATCGTCGCCACCGCCGTCGTCATCGTCACCGCCGTCGTGGCCGCAGTCGTGGTCGTGGCAATCGTGGTCGCGGTCGTCGCCGTCGCCCCCACACCTCCGAGGTCGTGGCGCGTGCAATCCAGGGGACCAGAGCGCTCGGAGCCTTCCCCAGGGGCAGCTCCTCATAGCGCTCTGATGGCCCCGAAGGGCCTGGAGACGGCCCCTGGAAGACGAGAGCGTTTGAGACGACGCCAGGACTGCAAGAGCAAATCCGCCAGAAGCCGGAGTCCTCCGACCCGAATCCGCTGAAAACCCGCCCCCAGTCGTGCGGGTGGCAACGGGGGGTGACCTAGATGGGGGGGGGAGAAGATGGCCCCAGACCTCTCCTGGGGCATCCGCGCCAGTACTTCGAGCTGCGTCTAGCCGTGCCCACTCGAAAGCCCCAGAAGCCGCCCAAAAAGCATGAAACCGATGCAGCTGATCAAAGAGGTCGTAGTCGCCGCCTCAGCCAGGTCATGGCCGTCGTCGCCGTCGGCGTCGTCATCGCCGCTGCCGTCGCCGCCGCCGTCGCCGGCGGCGTCGCCGCCGCTGTCATCGCCATCGCCGCCGCCGCCGCCGTCGTCGTCGTCGTCGTCGGGCTCCGTACTTCGCCACCAACGCGACCATGACGACGGCCGTCGAGCCCGCGGCCCCCGACGCAATCCCGGCCTTGCCGCCGAAGGCGGCGGCGAAGAAGCCGACCACCACGGCGCTCCACAGCCCCACGATGGCCAGGTGGTGCCAACAGGGGTCGGGTCACCACTAGGAGGGTCGCCACTTCCACGAGGAAACGCCATGTTCTCCAGGACCTGGGAGGCCCACAACACTCCAGAGGCCCGCTGAAGCGACCCCCAACGTCCAGACACTGCCTCGAGCTCTGGTCCTGGAACCTCGATCCTCAGGAGGCCACGCGGCCATGATGGACATTATGGGGGGGAGGACTGGCCATCGCTCGGACGTCCATTCCCCGTGTGTTTATCGGTTTCGTGCGTGGCTTTTTCGCCAAATGATCAAGGATGCTCCTCGATGGCCCTCGCCGAGAAAAAAAATGCACATGTCCGAGCGATGCCAGGAGGAGGGGGGGGGGTAACGCGCGTTATGGCCCAGAGGAATGAAAAAAACACTCTCCTAGTGGTGACCCCCCTTGGCACTCCCCGAGATGGGCGTGACGCCTGCCACGAAGGCGAAGGCCACGGACTCGGGGATCATGGCCAGCGACACCGCGAAGCCGGCCAGGACGTTGCGCCAGGCGGCCCTCGGGCCTTTTGGGTACACCTGCGCCGCGGGGGCACGCTCCTCCTCCTCCTCCACCTCCTCCTCCTCCTCCTCATCCTCCTCCTCCTCATCATCATCCTCCTCCTCCTTCTCCTCCTCCCCCTCCTCCCTTGGTCCTGGAAGATTGGCATGCAGGCGGAAGTCGCGGCGGAAGGATGTATACACAGAGAGGGTAAAGCAGAACACATAGCGATAACTCCTCGTTGCCTTGTCCGGCATCGTCGTCATAATAATGTAATCCGGCATCCTTCCCTCATGTTTTCTCTTCCTCGTCCTCATTCTCGCCCTCCCCTGCGAATTGCTCCCCATCCTCCTCTGCCCTTTTTGCGGAGGCTCCTCCTTGGAGGGCTTCTTACGGGCCTCATGAAAGTTTTACAAGGCTTCTTGGGGCCTTCTGGAGGCCCCCTTGGCGCCTTCTGGGGGGCATCTGGGGGATTCCTCGGGCCACCCTGCTTCCAACTGCGGTCTCCCTGGACGGCCGGGTCCCGAGTTGGAATGCTTCGAGGGGTGTCTTGGGGCCATCTTTGGCCGTCATGGGGCTCTCTTCGGGCCATCGTTGGGCCCTGTTGGGCCGTTATGGGGGTCTCTTAGACTGCCTGGAAGCCCTTTCAGATAGTTTTGGCATGAGTTTCGGGCCTCTTGGGCTGTCTCGGACGCCTGGAAGACCGAAGAACAGAGCACTCCCAAAATCACACACAAAACCAATTAAAAATCAGTGTTCTCCTGCATTGCGGAAGCCTCTGGGGGTCTTCTTTGTGCTGTCTCCGGGCGTCTGGTGATTGTTTGAGGCCTCTTGGGGCCCTCGGGGGGCCGTTCGGCCGCCCTCACGATTTGGGCCCGCTGCCTGGGCTCAGCATGGGCTTCCAGGGGCTCCCAAAAGCCCAGGGGACCTTCGGCAAGGGGGTCCAGGGAGCCGCCGGAGCCAGGGATCCGGAGGGTTTCGTTTAGAGGGGGGGGCGCAGGGTCCCAAACTGTAAAAATAGAACAATTACGCTACCGAGGAACCCCACATACTTATATCATGGCTGGAGTGATGATAGCTGAAGTGAAGCATGTGAGAATGATATTGGTGGCCATTCCCTGCGCACCCCTTATGGTGTCGAGAAAGTGCCACGCCTGCTACGCCCTGGACGACCAGCTCGGATAGCGGCTGCGCTCAGAGACCCCGATGGTGTCGAGAAAGTGCCACGCCTGCTATTCCCTGCGCCATGGCCATCATAGACGCCGCGCTCGGGGACCACCCCCTGCGCACCCCCTATGGTGTCGAGAAAGAGCCACGCTTGCTATTCCCTGCGCCATGGCCCGCATAGACGCCGCGCTCGGAGACCACCCCCTGCGCACCCCCACATGGTGTCGAGAAAGTGCCACGCCTGCTATGCCCTGCGCCATGGCCCGCATAGACGCCGCGCTCGGGGACCACCCCCTGCGCACCCCCATGTGGTGTCGAGAAAATGCCACGCCTGCTATGCCCTGCGCCATGGCTCGCATAGACGCCGCCCTCGGGGACCACCCCCTGCGCACCCCCTATGGTGTCGAGAAAGCGCCACGCCTGCTATGCCCTGCGCCATGGCCCGCATAGACGCCGCGCTCGGAGACCACCCCCTGCGCACGCCCTACGGTGTCGAGAAAGCGCCACGCCTGCTATCCCCTGCGCCATGGCCCGCATAGACGCCGCCCTCGGGGACCACCCCCTGCGCACCCCTTATGGTGTCGAGAAAGCGCCACGCCTGCTATGCCCTGCGCCATGGCCATCATAGACGCCGCGCTCGGGGACCACCCCCTGCGCACCCCCTATGGTGTCGAGAAGTGTCACGCCTGCTATGCCCTGCGCCATGGCCCGCATAGACGCCGCGCTCGGGGACCACCCCCTGCGCACCCCCGATGGTGTCGAGAAAGCGCCACGCCTGCTATGCCCTGCGCCATGGACCGCATAGACGCCGCGCTCGGGGACCACCCCCTGCGCACCCCCGATGGTGTTGAGAAAGCGCCACGCCTGCTATACCCTGCGCCATGGCCAGCATAGACGCCGCCCTCGGGGACCACCCCCTGCGCACCCCTTATGGTGTCGAGAAATGCCACGCCTGCTATGCCCTGCGCCATGGCTCGCATAGACGCCGCCCTCGGGGACCACCCCCTGCGCACCCCCTATGGTGTCGAGAAAGCGCCACGCCTGCTATGCCCTGCGCCATGGCCCGCATAGACGCCGCGCTCGGGGACCACCCCCTGCGCACCCCCTACGGTGTCGAGAAAGCGCCACGCCTGCTATGCCCTGCGCCATGGCCCGCATAGACGCCGCCCTCGGGGACCACCCCCTGCGCACCCCCTATGGTGTCGAGAAAGCGCCCCGCCTGCTATGCCCTGCGCCATGGCCCGCATAGACGCCGCGTTCGGAGACCACCCCCTTGCGCACCCCCTATGGTGTCGAGAAAGCGCCACTCCTGCTCGTGTGCGGCCGTATCGGGACGTGTGCCTCATGTGTGTGTGTGTGTGCCCAGTCTGTACGCATACATCGTGTGTGTGTGTTGTGTGTGTCTGTGTGTGCGTGAGGGGAGGGAGAAGGCGAGGGAGGCGAATGGAAGACGCAGGTGCGACGCGGCAAAAAAGAAAACCAGAACCCCACAAAACATGTGGGGCAAAACGGAATGTGTGTGTGTGCGTGTGTTGCGAAATATGTTGTGCAATGTATGTAGTGCAATACCTGTTGGTGCAATCGATGTGGTGCAATCTATGTTGTTAAGTGGTCCAAAATCTGCGGTGCGAGGCCGCGACTGGGCGGCGACGGGGCGAAATAGCAGCCAGACCAACGCACAGGCCCAGACGACGGGCGGCGACAAGGCGGCGACGAGGCGGCGACGGCGACAACATAGCTGCCAGACTGGCACGCAGGCCCAGACGACTGGCGGCGACGAGGCGGCGACTGGGCAGAACGGCGACAACATAGCCGCCAGACCGACTCACAGGCCCAGACGAAGGGCGGCGACGAGGCGGCGACGAGGCGGCGACGATGTGGCGACGGGGCGGCGACGGCGACAACATAACTGCCAGACTGGCACGCAGGCCCAGACGACTGGCATTGACGAGGCGGCGACTGGGCGGCGACGGCGACAACATAGCCGCCAGACCGACGCACAGGCCCAGACGACGGGCTGCGACGAGGCGGCGACGGGGCGGCGACGGCGACAACATAGCCGCCAGACTGGCACGCAGGCCCAGTTCTTTAAAACTGAAATAAAGAACCCGAACTGCAAACACTGTTTGGGGAACCACGGCCTAAGCATGAACGTTTGGAGGTCTGCACGGAGTTCTTGGATCGGCGCTGGACCCCTTGGCGCGCGCGGGGGTCCAACGCCGATCCGAGAAATCCACGCGGACATCCGAAAGCTTGTGTGGGGAAGAAACGACGACCATGACCAAGATTGATCGCCGAAACGTTGGAGTCGATCTTGGTCATCATCCATCTTTGTCACTGTCGGTTCGAGGCTTATCATCGCGAATCGGCGACGGCAAGCATAGACCACAGCCAAGATCAACGTCGATACGATCCCGCGACACCTTGGTCATGGTCATCGTGCTTCTTCCCGCGACGTATCTTGTCATTTTCTCCGAGTCGGGAACTAGTTCTCGGCGGCGAGCCCAGGGGGCAGTCAGAAGGGGCGGGCCTTCTCGGAAGGCTCGGAAGTCCCCCGGCCTCATGAGAAGCTGCCTGAGCCTTGCCCGAAGATGCGGAAAACCTCTCGGGAGGCCCGAGGGCTTCTGAGAAGCCCCGCCGCCCTCTGAGAAGGCCTCCCCCTCCTCGCTTCCCTCCTCGGCGCGCCGCCGAGTTCAGCCTCCGAGTCCCGGCTCGGCCCTCCGGCGGCCGTTCGGGACGATCCGGGCAACCCCGGAGCGCTCTCGGCGAGGCGCAGCCGCTGGAACGCATCCCGAGGCTGGAAAAGCGCCAGGGACTCTCGAAACCGCCCGAAAACCTCGGACCTCGATGATGATGATGATGATGATGATGATGATGATGATGATGATGATGATGATGATGATGATGATGATGATGATGATGATGATGATGATGGTGGTGGTGATGGTGATGGTGATGGTGATGGTGATGGTGATGGTGATGGTGATGGTGGTGATGATGATGATGCTGATGATGATGATGATGGTGATGGTGATGGTGATGGTGATGGTGATGGTGATGATGATGATGCTGATGATGATGATGATGGTGATGGTGATGGTGATGGTGATGGTGATGGTGATGATGATGATGATGGTGGTGATGATGATGATTATGATGATGATGTTGCTGCTGATGACGACGACGATGACGATGACGATGACGATGAGGAGGAGGAGGAGGAGGATAGGATGATGATGCTGCTGATGATGATGATGATGATGATGCTGCTGGTACGCTGCTGGTGATGATGGTGATGATGATGATGAGGAGGAGGAGGAGGAGGAGGAGGTGGACCTCTTCCCCCCCCCTCGCTCGCTGCCGATCCTCGATTCTGGGATATATTTTTTTCGGCGGCGGAGCCACCGCGAAGAGCAGGCCCCGCGCGTTGGCGACGACGTCCTCCAGCTGCGAGGGCGGGGGGCGCCCCTGCGCCGCGGGAGCGCCCGCGCCCGCGCGGACGCAGCCGCTCTGCCTCGCGCTGCGGCAGGCGACGACGGCGTCGACGTCGCCGACGGCGACGTCGCCGACGGCGACGACGACGACGACGACGCCGACGACGACGACGACGACGACGCCGACGACGACGACGACGACGACGAAAGGCGGCGGCGGCGGCGGCGGCGGCGACCGCGCCGGCGCCTGGCACGGCGCGGCGGCGGCGCGCGGCCGGCTCCGAAGCCGGGGCCGCGCCGGGCGCCCGCGCGGTCGCCAGCGCCCGCGGCGCGGAGCGCGAAGCCCGCCGGCGCGCCGCGCAGCGCCAGCAGCAGCGCCCACCGCCGCCGCAGGCGCGCGCCGCGCGCCCGCGCGCGGCGCCGCGCGGCGAGCGCCTGCGGCGGCGGCGGCGGCGGCCGCGTCGCGCGGCGGGCGGCGGCGGCGGCGGCGACCGCGTCGCGCGGCGGGCGACGGCGGCGGCGACCGAATCGCAGCACTGATCGCTTCACAGCAAGACTTGAATGGGCCAAGAACCGGCACAGCGGACCGCTCGGACGCAGAGTCCGAAGGCAGATCTTACGTAGCTGCAGTCTGTCGGGCCCCAGCCGGAGTTGGAATTACTTGAAAGGAAAACTTGAACTTTATCCCGCGTGAAATCTTGAGAGAGCTACGTGGTAGAACGGTCACCCAGCGAAATGGCCTGGCTAAGCGGTAGAACGGTCTTTGTGGATCGGGACGCGGTGAAAGAACGTGCGAACTACTCCTGACTGCGACACCCGAGCAGTAACAAAATGTAGTGGTAGAGCGACAGTAAGTGGTGGAAGGACTGCAAGTGGTAGAACTGTTCAACGGCAAGTGGTAGAACAGACGCTCTAAGTGGTAGAACGGTGTAGTTCTAGACGGCATTGATGGGAACTTTGGGTGGGAAGGAGAAGAGAATGTGGAGGGGAAGGAAGGGTAGGAGATTCTCCGCGGCTTTCAAATGCCGCGGTGAGAGCGAAATGCGAACTCGCTGTGCAGGCGGGGAGAATGAAGCGTGGAAGGAGTGAGAAAAGATCAGCATGAGGAGAATGATCATGATAAGGAGGAGGAGGAGGAGGAGGAGGAGGAGGAGGAGGAGGAGGAAGAGGAGGGAAGGGGAGGAGGAGGAGGAGGAGGGAAGGGGAGGCGGATTATGGTGTGATTCGTCCGTTGTGGGGCACTCTGGAAGGCCAACGCTGCCACAGCCAGGTTGCCCTCGACACCCTGGCCAGGCAGCTTTGTGGGGCGGGCCCAGAGTTCGACCTCTGGGGAGGAGGGGAAGAGCAGGAGGGGGAGGGCCAGAGCAGACCTCTCAGCGCATCGACGGTGCGGCAATACATGCATCCCTCTCAAGTTCCTTCCTTCCTCCTCCTCCTCCTCCTCCTCCTCCTCCTCCTCCTCCTCCTCCTCCTCCTCCTCCTCCTCCTCCCCCCCCCCCTCCGCCTCCTCCTCCTCCTTCTCCTCCGAAGTTCCTTCCGCAGAATCGGAGGGGGACCAGAGGCAGGGGTGGGGGCCCAGGTGGGCTTGGGAGGAGAATCGCTCCGAACGGCCCCCGGGAGCAGGAAGCGCGACACGCGGCCCGGTCCCCAGCGCCCCCCCCCTCGGGACAGCCCTCCCTCCCTGCGACCCACCCCCCCGACGTGAGTCCACACGGGAGTCCCTCCACGCCTCCCGCAGAGGAGACGGGCGCCCCACAGGCCCGCCAGTTCCAAGGCGGCCCGCCCCCCGCCGTGGAGAGAAAGAAAAAGACCACCTGTCCACATGCTGCACAGAAATTCTTACGCATGCAATCGGAGGAGGGGGAGGAGGAGGAGGAGGAGGAGGAGGAGGAGGAGGAGGAGGAGGAGGAGGAGGAGGAGGAGAAAGGAGGAGGAGGAGGAGGAGGAGAGGGGGAGGAGGGGGAGAAGGAGAAGGAGGAGGAGGAGGAGGGGGAGGAGGAGGAGGAGGAGGAAGATGACCAGAGTAAGCCCAAGCTCCGTCAGCGGCGCTGCAACACGCCCTCCCGTCCCGCGCCCAGTTGTCAGTGTACCCCACCAGCATGCCGACGCGCGCTCTGTTGCCCAAGGAGCTCTCCTCCACCCGGGAAGCTGCTGCAGGCTCGTGCAACGAACGTGCGCGGCGCTGAGGCGAGAGCCGCACCTTGGGAGCGGGCCTGGCCCTCCATCCGCGTAGCAGCCGGAAGCTTTCCGGACGAATGTGCGCGGCGCTACGGCGAGGGCTACATTTTGCCAACCGCCCGCGCTCCCTGCACGTGACTGCTGGAAGCGCCCAGCTTCGGCCCGACACGTGGGGCCGCGGAGGCCCCGAACACGGGGAAGGGAAGAGGGGGGAGGAACGGGAAGAAAGAACAGGTCCGCTCTCCCAGAAACCCTGGAGCCAACACTGTTGCCGCCTCGCTGCTGTTTCCGCCAACCTTCCGCCGACCTCTCGACGGCGGAGCTGGCGCCACTTCACGTCCGCCGACCATCCGCCGACTTTCCGCCGGCCTCCGCCGAGGGCGAGACGCGACCAAGGCAGGGCCCTCCTCTCTCTGGAACGAGCCCTGCGAGAGACGCTCAGAAGCGGGGCTCCACGCGAGATGGCACAGCCACCTCGCGCGGGCCGCCCGCGCGGCCCACCACGTAGGAAACGAGGGCGCCTGCGCGCGCGACCTTGCGCGAGCAGCTCACGCGCCCACGTCTGCGAGGGCGACCCCGTCTCCCGCGTCGCTCACGTAGGGCGACCGAGTCTATACATATCCACTGCTCCCTGGCCAGGCACACCGTGAACCCAGCAGCAGTGTATACGCCACACCCTCCTGGCTGGGCCAGGAGGGCGTATACACAGCTCCTGGGTTCAGAGTGGGCCTGGCCAGGGAGCAGTGGATATGTATAGATTTCTTCGCCCGATCACGTGAAGGCCGAGTGAGACGTCCGCTGTGCTTTGGACATTCCGAGCGCCGTCGCGCTGCAAGCCGCTCGGCATCATCGCCCGGTCCGCGCGCTGCGCGCCGGCCGCCTGGCGCCACGGGCCTCGAGCCCCAAGGGCTGCAACACGACGCCGCCGATGGGGGCGGCGGCTGCAACGTCGCGGTCCTCCTCCTCCTCCTCCTCCTCCTCCTCCTCCTCCTCCTCCTCCTCCTCCTCCTCCTCC